CCTTTGTCTATAGCCTGCCCAATGATCACTGGGGGAGGATACACTAGCGTTCGCTCTTTACAGATGTGAATTGTTTTTAATTAACAAAGTATTTATTGGATGATGACGAAACATACAGTTACATATTAGGCATAATTACTAAAACTCTTAGAAGCTGTACAGAATACATCTGCTTCCAATGTAGGCTCATGTGGATCCATTGTTACCAGCCACAGACTAGGTGTTTTACCATGAGATTGGGAGTAATTTAATATGAAATTATCTGCTTCTGAAACATTACTTTTGCATGAGAACCATTGAGCAACAATATAACGCTGAACCTCATGAAGATGTTGTGGATTCTGAATCTTTTATTTAGATATATACTGAAAATAAGCACTGCTGAGTAGTGATTTGAAAATAGCATTGTCATTGAACTTTTTAAAAATTCACTCTTGGGTCGTGGATGCTGCTGGCATTTTGTGCCAGCAGTTATTGTCCCGAGTTGCCCTTGTGAAGGTGATAGTGAGCTGTCGTCTTGAACTGCTGCTGTTCATGTGCTGGGGGTATACCCATAATGCATGTGGAACTCATTGCTGAGGAATTATTATCCACACCATGATTAGAATATGAGGCATACCTCGGTCTTTCTTATGTGTTCTACTTATAGGATAGGGCTGAGTTTAATGCATTACATTTCCTTGCCCATGAGAAGCACACAACAAGTTTATTCCTCACATGTTATTATTTATCACGGATTAAAAAAAGACAATGGAATCACATCAGTCAATTTCCAATACATGATCTTAGTGGCCAGGCTACACATTGGGGGGTTAATTTTATGGGGCCTGTAGGAGCAGGAGACATAGAAGGCAGGGTGATTTAATAAGCTGGGAGCCTAAACTGTGCTTTCCCGTAGGCAGCTTGAAATTTAGGAATTAGCTCAGTGGTGAGATTGTGGCAGGTCAAGCTTATGGCATCCTGTTTTTGGTGCCAACTTATACTGCATTTGTTTGCCATGAAGACATATTAGATTTAAACTTGTTGTAACAAAGTACTACCTTCGGGATTAAAGTAAGCCACTGGCACATGAGAAATTTCTGGCATTCGGTTCACATTAATTTAAAGGCACAGCCATCAGATGGGCTTGTCCAGTGGGGTCTGATGTCAGTGGTCGTGTATGTCGAACTCCGTAGACAAAGGAGGGGATCAGGAAAATGGCTGCCCCCCAGCATGGAAGCTCAAGACTGGCAAGGACGAGTTAGGGAGGGTCCAGAAGTTGGGTGTGGGGTGAGTTGATGTCATGGAGGGCTGGAAGAGGGATCCAAAGGAGGATGGCAGGGTGGGTGGAGGGCATGAAGGAATGGGAAAGGCAAGGGTGGGTGGTGAGCATGGAGGAGTGGGAAAGTCAAGGGCTGTGAACCCTGTGTGTGGTGAGGAGTTGAGTGGGGGGAGATGATGGGTACAGTCAGCGAACATAAGAAAACAAAGGGCCTAAGGGATGGGGACAGTACTGTCTACACATTTGTCCATCTCAGAACAACCCCGCCATCCCAGGAACAAGTCTGGTGAGCTTTCATTACACTCTCCCCATGCAGCAATATGCTTCCTAAGGTGAGGAGACTAACATTGCACACAGTATACCAGGACAAATCTAAGCAAGCTTCTATACAAATGAAGCAAGAAGTTATTGCTCCTGTACGCAAATGCTCTTGCAATAAAGGCTAATATTTCACTACCTTCCTAATTGTTTTGCTGCATTTGCTTGTTGCCTTATTAACTTACTGACAAGGACACCCAAGTCCTTTTACACATCTACAATTTCTAACTTTTTACCATTTAATAAATACTCTGCATATCTCTTGTTCCTACCAATGTGGATTATCTCACATTTTGCTATATCTGCCATGTTCTTTTCCACTCATTAAACCTGTCCAAATCCTCTTCACATCTTTATATCTTCCTCACAGCACACATTCCGACTCAGCTTTGTATCATCTGTAAGTTTGGAAATAGTACATTTGATACCCATATCCAAATTATTGATATGTATTCCGTGCAGCTGGGAGCCAAGTACCAATCCTTATGGTACCCCTCATTAGTCATAGCCTTCCAATATGAGAATGATCATGTATGCTCTGTCTTCTGTCTGTTAACCAACGATTAATCTATACCGGTATATTACCTCCTATACATTAATTTTCCTAGCCAAACTCCTATAGGCGCCCTTATCAAAACCCTACTGGAAAACCAGCAACTCCCCTTTACCAATTTTGTAAGTAACATACTCAAGTTACTTCAACGTTTCACTTAATTCCATTGAGAATGATCTTGGACAGTCTTTTTTGCAATGCATAAAACAGAAGGTCAGCTGAGTCTCAATGTTCAGCCACATTTCATGAGTCTTGAGTATATCACTAGACACTAACGTGAACATTCAGTAAGTGATACCTCCAACTCCCCTGTCACCATCATTGGCTGCCAGCCATGGCGTGTGCCAGTATATTTAGCTCTCTGACTGAACTACTCTCAACAATAAAAATAATGCACATGTATGTAAAGTGATGTCCAAAATGAAATGAAATACATTGTAATCAACATTTAAATTTGAAAAACACTCATGGCAGGTTTGTTGTGTGAGGAGAGATTGTGTTGACTGGGCCTGTACTCACTGGAGTTTAGAAGAATGAGAGAGGATCTCAATGAAACGTATAAGATTCTGACAAAGCTGGACTGACTGGATACATGGATGATATTTCCCCATTTAGGTGGCGATGGTGGTGGAGATGGGAGTGAAGAAGATTTGGAACGGGATAATGATCTTTTCAGACTGAGATGAAGAAAATAATTTCCTTCACACAGAGGGTGATGGATCTGTGGAGGCAGTCACTCAATATCATTAAGAAAGAATTAGGCAGATTTCTAGAAGCTAAAGATTTCAAGGGTGTACTGAAGAGAGCAGGAGTAAGGCATGAAGGTAGAGGATCCACAATGATCATGTTGAATGGCAGAATGTGTTCAATGGGGCATTTGGCCCACTTCTAATACTATTTGCTATGTTTGTACGTTTGCAGCTTTGATTCTCTCAACATATTTAATGTTAATGGAACTGGCGTTTGGCAGCAAAGTAGTGGCTGTGGTGCCACAACCATACGATGGGATTATTTTACAGCCCAGCTTGCACAGGCTGCAATGTCACTTAACAGCAGGTTTCCCGATGAAAAACTTGTCATGGTACTGCACATACTTCCTCTACCTCTAGTGGCATTTAAATTTGACATAAAACTGTGGAAAGCGAGGGATTGATTGTAGATGCCAACTTCTGGATCTGCATGGTTAAAACTCCACCTGCAAATTGTACATTTCAAATAGATGTTACCTCTGCTACTTAATTGTACATGTTCTCCGGGCCACTGTGCTTCAGTCAATTTATTATTCTGTGATAGTAAAATAAACTGTTTTAGTTTTATAAATTGTTCCAGTGATAAGAGTCATGATTATCTAAACTTTATATGTGAACTATTTAATGGAGATGATGTAATCACAAATTAACTAATAATCTATGACATTTTATTTGCCCAGTTAAGCTGTTTGAAATTGGCAAAGCACTATTTTTCATCACCAGAGCTCCAAAACCCCCAGACAATCAACGAATCTTTTAAAATGCAATTGCTTCATTTATTCAGCCTTTTCTATTTTTTATGTTGTCTGGGGATTTTTGCTTGGAATCATTTTCATATCCTATCAAGTAAGCACAACTGCCTTTTTCTTTGAACAAAAACAAAATTAAGGTATCAAGGTATTCCTCAACTACACAGATGTATTGCACAAGAATATTGGCTATAGTTTAAAGAAGGATTGGAATAATGACTTCCATAATAACACAGAAATTACTAGTGATGAAATTGAGGGAGACCGGGCCATGTTTGGAACAAGTAGTATTCCTGTTAATTCTTAGAAAGAAAAGATCTGCACCTTATGTAAAATTGATAGTCTCCATCTGTCATAATGGTACTTGTTCTAATTAGGAATGCTACTGATGTACTTTATATATTGATTAGACAAACAGTGATTGTTTGCAGTTGTAGTTCATACAAATTATAAGAATCACTCATTTCTCTTTTTTTTTTACTTTAGTTTTATAACATTTCAGTCGATCAGCTGTACTAATGAAATTTACTGAAGACACTAAACTACTTTCCTTGACAAATTGTGCCTGTCAAAAAGGCATTTTCAGCAGTTAGCTCTTGTATATAGCTGGAAGCTGCTCTATCTTGCTTCTGTGCAGTATGCAAATATGTTACTATTTTAGTATTTTACAAATTAGGTCAGTGTGTTTCCTAACACAACCAAAATTCTGGAATTTATGTACTAGAATGCAGATACCCGAAACTTTTCAAGTATACTCTAGAATTACATAGGATTTTAAAATGTTTCTGACATACATTTAATTGTATCTTTTGTATATCGGGCGTCATTGGGTACCGGGCTAGGATTCATAGGGAATGCTGGAGGTCCCTTAAGTTATCACTGTTCTCTCAATGAATAGGTTTGCTTTGCATGCAGTACAGGCAGATCATACCGGACAAAGTGCGTTAGAGTATTAGAACAGAGTGAAGTGTTACGGTTGCAGGGAAGGTGCACACAGAGCGAGATAAGCTTTAAACTTAAAATTTGGGTGGTCCATTCAGATGTCTAATAATAGTGGGGAAGAAACTGCTCTCGAATCTGTTAGTATGTGTGTTTAAGCTTATGTATTTTCTGCCTGACTGATAAGGTTGGAAGAGATTGTAACCAGGTTGCCAGGGGTCTTTGATTATGTTGGCTGTTTTCCTGAGGCAGCAAGACGTGTCGATGGAATCATTGGAAGGAAGGCTAGTTTACGTGGTGGACTAGGCTGTGTTCACAACCCTCTGTGGTTTCTTATAGTCCTGGGCAAAGCAGTTGCCACACCAAGCCGTGATGCATCCAGATAGAAAGCTTTTTATGGTGCATCTATCAACATTGCTAAGAGTGTTTACGGACATGCTGAATTTCCATGGCTTCCTGAGGATGTAGAGGTGTGATTGTTGTTTCTTGATCGTAGCGTCAACGTGGGTGGACCAGGACAGATTGTTGGTGATCAGCACTCCGAGGATGATGCTGTTGGCCATCTCTACCTCAGGACTATTGATGTACTTTCCACTTTGCTTCTTGAAGTCAATCACCAACTCTTTCATTTTGCTGAAGTTGAGGGAGAGATTGTTGTCTTTACACCATAGCACCAAGCATTCCATCTCTTTCCTGTATTTTGTATCCTCATTGCTTGAGATCCGGCCTACAACAGTAGTGTTGTCAGCAAACTTGTAGATAGAGTTAGGACAGAATTTGGCCACATGGTCATGAGTGTATGGGGAATATAATAAGGGGCTGAGTATGCAGCCTTGCGGAGCACCATTGTTGCGGATTATCATGACGGAGGTATTGTTGCTTATTCTCAGTGATTGCAGTTTGTGGGTCAGGATGTCGAAGATTCAGTTGCAGAGGGCAAAATAGAGACCCAGGTCTTGGAGTCTGGAGATTAGTTTGATTAGAATTATTGTGTTGAAGACAGAGCTGTAGTCAATAAGTACCATTTTCAGTTGGCTGACTCAGCCTTTGAGATGTATACTAAAGAATGTTCAGAGGTCCCCAAGGATCACAATATTTACAGAAAGTTTGAAACACAAAAATTGTTAGCTACAATTCTTTCAGAGATAGTAGTTTTCTGAAGAAGGGTCTAGGCCCAAAACATCAGTTTTCCTGCACCTCTGATGCTGCTTGGCCTGCTGTGTTCATCCAGCTCTACACCTTGTTATCTTAGCTACAATTCTTTGTCTTGCTTATTCATGAAGGAGAGGAAAGGGAGTGTGATTTTATACATAAATAATATATGAACCATAAATTCCTGTGTCACAGTCATGGATTAACATTTCTAACAATATTTGAACTGGATAGTGGGAAGTTCTTAGTTATCTCTATCAACAATTGGATGACACGGTGGCTCAGTGGTTAGCACTTCTGCCTCACAGTGCCAGGGAGTCAGGTTCGATTCCACCGTTGGGTGACTGTCTGTGTGGAGTTTGTACATTCTCCCCATGCCTGCAGGGGTTTCCTGCAGGCGCTCCGGTTTCCTCCCACAGTCCAAAGATATGTAGGTTAGGTGGATTGGCCATGCTAAATTGCCCGTAGTGTCCAGGGGTCTGTACGTTAGGTGGATTAGATATGGGAAATGCCAGGTTACAGGGAAAGGGTAGGGGAATGGGTCTGGGTAGGATGCTCTTCGGAGGGGCGGTGTGAATTTGTTGGGCCAAATGGCCTGTTTCCATGCTGTAGGGATTCTATGATTCGTCCACCCATGAGGTCATATATTGTGGCAATTCCCCATTGATCCTTTGGTGGTTTGGGATTTACTGCTAACACCTATGAATGTCATCAATCCTGCTACAGTTTCTGCCTTTAAAATTCAGGTTTTGCCAGAATGTTTAGAGCTATCTTTTTTTCCAGTTACCTTGTGCAGTGTCATAGAGGCTTATCCAGTTAATGTCAAGATGGCATCATTTTCTAAAGTCTGTGCTGGTGCCATGGAAATCTGCCTAATGCCGGCACGTGTCAGAAAATCATAGGTACACTGCACAGATGGAGAGAATGGGCCTTGCTCACAAATAATCAAAAGTAATAGGTAATGCATTTGTAGAAAATAACCTCCAGAAAAGATATTTTCAGCATTTAGATTTTGTGTGTGGCTGACAGCATCTCTATGTTGCTTGCAAGCAATATGCAAACATATCAGTACATTAGGATTCTTTAATAATCTGGAATTTAGGACCATAAGCACATAGGGTTTAGGAGCCATTCAGTAGGGCTGTGACTGATGTGGTTATAGTTTCAACTCCACTTCCCTGTCTGCCCTTTCCTTTTTTCCATGATTGAGTTGAGTGAACCTTTTCTGAACTGGTTCCAACACAATTATATCCTTTTTCAGATTGAGATCAAAACTTTGCACATTATTTCAGAGTGTGTTATTAAGGCCTTGTACAGCTTCAGTAAAATTTCTCTGTTTTTAAAATCTATTCCCTTTGCAGTAAGAACCAGAATTCCCTTTGCCTTCTGAAACATTTTCTGTATCTGCATACTAAGTATCTGTGATTCACTAACTAGAAAACCTAAATCCCTCTGTGTACCAAGTTCTGCAATCTCTCTCCATTTAAGTAGAATACTGCTTTCCTATTCTTCCCATCAACATGGGCAAGTTCACATTTTTCCACATCATATTCCATCTTCCAACTTTTTATTTGCCCATTCAGTTGACCTCTTTGCAGGCTCTATTTTCTCTTGACAAATTACGTTCCTATCTTGGTGTCATTGGGAAATTTACCTACCATACGCTTTCATCCACATCCTTGATGTAGATTGTAAATAGTTGAGACACCAGCATGACCCCTGTGGCACTCTACTAATGACTTTTTGCTCATCTGGTTCATTCATCACAATTTTTTGCTTTCTGTTAGCTAATCAATCCTTTATCCATGCTGATAAGTTACCTCTTCTAGCATGTGCTCTTAACTTTTGATATGGCACCTTATCAAATGCTCTTTGAAAATCCCAGTATACCACATCTACAGGCTGCCCTTTATCCAACTTACTGTTACTTCTTCAAATAACTCTACTGAATTAATTAAACATGCTTTCATTTTCACAAAGCCACATTGACTCTGACTGATCACATGATGATTTTCTAAGTAGTTAGTTATAGCCTCCTTAATAATGGATCCTAGCATCCTCCCTATGATATATGTCCGGCAAACTGGCCTATAGTTCCCTGTCTGCTGTTTCCATACTTTATTGAAAGTTACATTTATTTAGGTTAGTGTGCTTCCTAATACAAGCAGATTTCAGGAAGGATTTCCATTGTAGACTTTAACACAGCTGATCAGCTTTTCAAGCACAATCTGATTTATTAGTTTGTGCAGGCAGATGGCGTGCAGTGTTAGCGAGAATTCTGTGAATTTAGACCCCACTGTGTGCTTCCTCTCTGTTGATTTGATTTGATTTATTATTGTCATCTGTACTCAGGTACAGTGAAAAATATTGTCTTACGTGCTCTACTGGCAGATTGTACTATACAAGTGCATCGAGGTAACAGAACAGAGTACAGAATACAATGTTACAGCTGCCAAGAAGGTGCAGAGAGAGATCAACATTAACATTAAAGAGCCCCATTCAATAAACTGATAACATTGGGGAAGAAGCTGTTCTTGAATCTGTTCGTACAAACTTTTTTATCTTCTGCCCAACAGAAGAGGATGAAAGAGGGTATAACTGGGCTGGGAGGGTCTTTGATTATGTTTGTTGCTTTCCCGATGCAGTGGGAAATATAGATGAAGTCAATGGATGGGAGGCTGGTTTGTGTGATGGACTGGTTTCTGTTCCTGACTCTGCAGTTTCTTGCAGTCTTGCGAAGAGCGGTTGCCATATCACACTGATGCATCCAGATAGAATGCTTTCTATGGTGCATCTATAAAAGTCTACAAGAGTCTTTATAGACATGCTGTATTACTTTTTTTCTCTTTTTGTTTCAGCACAGCACAAGCCCTTTGGCCCACGATGTTGTGCCGACCTATTATCCTACAAAGGTCAATTTACCCTGCATACCCTACATTATACTATCATCCATGTGCCTATTTAAGAGTCGCTTAAAAGTCTCTAAAGTATCTGACTCCACTACCACAACCAGCAGTGCATTCCACACACCTGCCACTCTGTGTGAAGAACCTACCTCTGACATCTCCCCTATACCTTCCTCCAATCACCTTAAAATTATGCCTCCTCGTAATAGTCATTTCCGCCTTGAGAAAATGTCTCTGGGCTATCCACTCTATCTGTGCCTCTCATCATCTTGTAAATCTCTATCAAGTCACCTCTTATCCTTCTTCGCTCCAAAGAGAAAAGCCCTAGCTCCATCAATCTTTCCTCATAAGACCTGCACTCCAGTCCAGGCAGCATCCTGGTAAATCTCCCCTGCACCCTCTCTAAAGTTTCCACATCCTTCCTATAATGAAGCAACCAGAACTGAACACAATATTCCATGTGTGGTCTAACCAGGGGTTTATAGAGCTGCAGCATAACCTTGTGGCTCTTAAATTCAATTCCCCTGCCAATGAAAGCCAACACACCATATGCCTTCTTTACAACTTTATTAACTTGGATAGCAACTTTGAGGGATCTATGGATGTGGACCCCAAGATCCCTCTATTCCTCCACACTGCCAAGAATCCTGCCATTAGCCCTATATTCTGCATTCAAATTTGACCTTCCAAAATGAATCACTTCACACTTTTATGGGTTGAATTCCATCTGCCACTTCTTTGCCCAGCTCTGCATCCTGTCAATGTCCCATTGCAACCTACAACAGCCCTCCACGTTATCCACAACTCCACTAACCTTTGTGTCATTGGCAAACTTACTAACCCACCCTTCCACTTCCTCATCAAAGTCATTTATAAAGATCACAAAAAGCAGAGGTCCCAGAACAGATCCCTGTGGAACACCACTGATCACTGAGCTCCAGGCTGAATACTTTCCACCTATTACCACCCTCTGTCTTCTATTGGACAGCCAGTTTTGTATCCAGACAGCCAAATTTCCCTGAATCCCATGCCTCCTTACTTTCCGAATGAGCATACCATGGGGAACCTTATCGAATGCCTTGCTAAAATCCAGATACACCACATCCACTGCTCTGTCTTCATCAATGTGTTTTGTCACATCCTCAAAGAATTCAGTAAGGCTTGTGAGTCATGTCCTGCCCGTCAAAAAGCCATGCTGACTATTTTAATCAAACGGTGCTTTTCCAAATAATCATAATTACTATCTCTCAGAATCCTCTCCAATAATTTGCCCACCACAGAAGTAAGACTGACCGGTCTGTAATTCCCAGGATTATCCCTATTCCCTTTCTTGAACAAGGGAATGACATTTGCCACCCTCCAATCATCTGGTGGTACTCCAGTGGACAGTGAGGGCGCAAAGATCATCGCCAAAAGGAGCAGCAATCTCTTCCCTCACTTCCCGACAGATTGTTGGTGATCGTCACTCCTAGGAACTTGATGCTATTGACCATTCCATCTCAGCACCACTGATGCAGACAGGGGAGTGCCCTCCACTCTGCTTCCTGAAGTTCGATGACCAGCTCCTTCAT